CATTGCTATCTGACATCATGGGCGGTGGGTTGGCCATTCACCACGTGAACTTAGGAAAAAGAGAACATTGGTTTCACTCTCTTCTCTTGTAAGAAGAGAAAAGCAGGGGTTTTGCTGGGCATATCACCAATCACAAGTGAAGACTGCATTTTCACGCTCATTTTTAGTAGGGAGATAGCGAAGGATTCACTTTTTGACCATTGGGCTGAGAGCAGAGTGAGATATACACTATGTACAGTGTACCTTTAAGGGGGTATATACTTCTTTGCTTTCTTCTGTCTTATTGCCTGGAACCCCTATGTAAGGGCAGGACATCTTGGGCCCTTCCATTGGAGGAATAGGGATGGCACCCTAGCGGTGTTGGAGGGACAAGATATAAGAATTCTGGGTCCCTGGACAACCTAACAGTACAAAATTGTGATACCAGTCAAGACATATAATCTTAGATTCAAATCCAGATGTCTGATTCTAAAATTATGATCTCCCATTTCCATCTCATCAAACATAGACTTTTATATCAATTGCAGTTGCCTGAAAATGAAGTAGGCTGGCTCACATGGCAATGCGTTCTCTGTCTTTGGAACTGCACAGTAGAATGTTGTCAGGGATGCTGTAGCAGGGATCCCTATGTGTAATGAAAAAACAAACTCACTGCCAACAAACTCATTGATGCTGATGCACAGTGACCCCACAGGACAGTGTAGAACTGTCCCCGGAGAGTTTCTGAGATTGTAGCTGTTTCCAGGAGTAGAAAGCCCTATATATATTTTTTATTATATCATTTTATTGGGGGCTTGCACAACTCTTATCACAGTCCACATATACATCCATTGTGTCAGGCACTTTTGTACATTTGTTTCCCTCATCATTCTCAAAACATTTGCTTTCTACTTGAGCCCTTCATATCAGCTCTTCATTTTTTCACCTCCCTCCCCAATCTCCCCTTCCCCATGAGCCCTTGATAATTTATTATTATTTTGGCATATCTTGCACTGTCCGACGTCTCCCTTCACCCACTTTTCTGTTGTCCATCCCCCAGGGAGGAGGTTATACGTAGATCCTTGTAATCGGTTCCGCCTTTCCAACCCACCCTCTACGCTCCCAGTATCCCCACTCACACCACTGGTCCTGTAGGGATCATCCACCCTGGATTCCCTGTGTTTCCATTTCCTATCTGTACCAGTGTACATCCTCTGGTCTAGCCAGATTTGTAAGGTAGAATTGGGATCATGATGGTGTGGGGGAAGAAGCCCCCATTCTTTCTCACTTGGAGCAGCTGATGCCACTAAGGCTCCTTATGTGGGACAGGAAATTAGAGTTTAAGTACCAAAAGGTATCATTCAACTGTAAGGATCTATGATTTAAAAACTAAGACAGAATCTTTGCTTTCTAGGGTTCCACATCCAAAATGAAACAAAAAATTGTGACATTGTTATTTGGTTATAATGCATTCTGTCTCATCTCCCCAGTCCCTCATCACCAGAGCATTAAAAATTCCTTTGGGGCAATGGCCATCTCTGGTTCATCTTTGATCCCTTCCAGCACCTCCCTTGCACATAATAATCAGTCAAAACATATGAGAAGGTGTCATAAAGTTTGTGAAAAAATATAACTGATAGGTAACAAAATTTGTCCACAAACTTTTGAAGCCCCCTCATATATAGTTTAACTCTTTTTTTTGTCACTGCGAACCACCTTCCATGCAGGTAGTGGGCACTCAATACACATTTGTTGAATTTAATTGAAGATTATATAAGTAATTTTTAAATGTATGCTCTTCAAATGACTCTAATTGAGAGATCTGAATTAGAAGTATCTTGGAAACCCACAGGAACCGTCCTCCCTGATCTATAGGGTTACTATGAGTTGGAATCAAGTCAATGGCGGTGAGTGTAGAATAGGTATGGGTATAGTATATAAGTCAGGTGTGGCAGATCCTTGGCCCTAGCTGCTAGACTACCCACTATCATCTCTGAGGCAGACATCATTAGTTGATCACAGTACACTTGCAAGCATCATTAGTTGATCACAGTTCACATGTGGATTCTCAGTCCTTCTCTATGCTCCTAGCAGCCATTCACAGTGAAGTCAGCATGCAAGAGAGAATTCATTTCATCATGACAGTGAACAGTGGGCATATTGGTGAATTTTACGTTATTTGATTCCTCAGTCAATACCTTGTGCCTGTCCAGTTTAGCCAGAAGCTCCAGGTCAGTCTTGTCTGACACCCCCCCATGAAGAATCAGCACTTTCTCATCGATCAGAGTGGCCAGCGGAAGCCAACAGAAGACATCTTGCAGTGTTTTTAGGATTTTCTTGCCATGCATCTGTTGGAAAAAGGTGGCATCGACAAGATATTAAGTTTCAAATAATCCACACAATTTATTTGAGCTAAGAGAAATGATTGCTTTGAAGGGTAGTGTACCTTGTATTTATACATCACTTCCTTGGTGAAGCCATATCTGTATGTAGAAGCAAAAATAGACATTAAATTAAATATAATGACAATAGTTATGGCATGATCATATTTTGTTTAAAATATATGTGATATATATAAGTATTTAAATATATAGAAAAGAGACTAAAACATAATCAGCAAAATATTTACAACCAGGGCATCATGAAGTACAGTAATTATGAGATATTATAATTTTTTCCTTTTTCTTATCTGTATTTCCTTCTTCTATAATGCACAACTATAATTTATGTAATAAAAATATAGATTCATAAAACATTTTAAATAGTTTTATGAAACTAGTAGGATAATGTGTAAAACATTTTTGATGTATTTATTTAACATTGATATATTTGTATTTCACGTAAAAAAAAAAGAAACATCTTTAAAAAATGAAACATCTTCATTAAAAAGGTACCTAACCCATTCGTATAAGCACTGCAAGCAAACGTCAAATGCCAACGAATGTTTAGTCGGTGTACCTTAAGTTCACCAGGTGGTCCTCGTGGTTCCCTCGATTAAGATGGAATTCTTTGGGGTAAACCAACATGAAAGCAAACAGAACCATCAAGATCTCTACGGAATCCTTGCCTCTGTCCACAAAGTCGCCGTTGAACACGTAAGCCCGCTCTGGCGACGGAAGGCCATTCTTCCCATCCAAGACATAAATCAAAGCGTCCAGAACAGGATAGCAAATCAGGTTAAAGCCAATTCACCTTTGACAGCAGCAGCTGGCCTAACACCAATTCAGTGTTTTCAGATAAGCAATGTGTATTTGGGGTGGAGGTGGGAGGGAAGGAGGAAATCAGGTCTCATCTTTGTTAAATAGCTTACAAAAATATACTACACTTTAATTCTGTGCTGACTTGTGAGTTGTGTATTTTCTTGTAGTAATAGCCTTTAAATCTAAGCAACATGTCAGCATTTGTTTAATACATACATTCTTTAACCTTCGAAATTAAGTCCTTGAGCAAAAGAAGTGGCTAAAGGTTAACATTCATACCTTATGAAATATAAAGATTAAGTCATCCAGCTGGCCATGCAAATCTCCTACCAAAGACAAAAACCAAGATATCAGTTCTGCAAAAAACATATCAATGTGAATGAGGGGAGTGCGGAGTGAAGACCCAAAGCCCATCTGTACACAACTGGACATCCCGTTACAGAAAGGTCACAAGGAAGAGATGAGCCAGGGTGCAGTATAGCACCAATGAAGCACACAACTTTCCTCCATTTGAACAGAACAAGGGCTCCTGCCTGGTTTGAAATCTGGAGAGGGTGGGTCAGGGTTCTATCCTTTCACCAGAATTATTCAATCCGTATGCTGAGCGTTTAGCCTGAGGAACGGGGCTGTATGAAGTTGAATGCGGCTCCAGTCAGGACTGTGGGAAGAAGCATAAGCAACCCGCGATATACAGGTGACACAAGCTTCCCTGCTGAGCGCTAAGAAAATCTGAAGCATTTACTGATGAAGATCAAGGTCTACAGCCTTCATTATGAATTACGCCTCAACATAAACAAAAATCTTCACTTCTAGTCCAATAAGAGATGTCATGAAAAATGGAGAAAGAGAGTAGTTGTCAAGGGTTCCGTCTTACTCGGCTCCACAGTCATGGAAGGAGCAGCCAGGCTGAGCCAGCTGAGCTACTGGATTGGACAAATCTGCTGCGCACCACCTATTTTGGAAGCGTTAGAGAGCTGAGATGTCCCTTTGAGGACTAAGGTGTGCCTGGCCCCAGCCACGGTGCTTTCAATCCCCTCCAACGTATTGGAACGCTGGACCATGCATAAGGAAGACCAAAGAAGAACCGATGTTTGGAACTTGTGCTGTTGGTGAAGAATGTTGGAGACAGCATGGCTGCCAGACAGGCACATCGGTCTCAGAAGTACAGCCAGAGTCCTCTTTAAATGTGAGGCTAGAAAGATCTTGCCACATGTCCTTAGACACAGGAAGGACCAATCCCTAGAGAAGGATTTCACACTTGGTAAAGCAGAAGGTTGGTTAAAAATAGAGGGATCTTCAGGGAGATAGATTGACACAGAGGCTGCCACAATGGGCCCAAACGTGGGCATGATGTGAGGAAGGCACAGGACTGGGTAGGGTTGCACACGGTCTCTGAGTTGGAACCGGTTCAGGGGCATCTAACAACAACAACCACAACAACAACGATGACAACGACGCTGCCTCCACTTGGAACCAAAGGTTTCTGGGCACAACTATGGGCCAGTGTTGTCAGTACTTTCAAGAGACTTTCAAAGTTGGTATTTTAATATAAAATCCTCAAATTTCCACATATTAGAAAATAATTTAAAATTTTTTGAAGAACACTGCAAGGCAAACAGAACATTATCACGTGTCTATACGGAGTCTTTGGGTTGTGGAAACGATTGCTGCTTAGACGGCTAACTAAAAAGTTGATAGTTTGAGCCCACCCAGAGTTGGCACGGAAGAAAGGCCTGGTGATCAACTTGTGAAAACTCAGCACTGAAAACTCTATGAACACAGAGCTCCTCTGACACACGTGGGTCACCAGGAGTCCAAATCGACTTAACATCAACTCTCTTTTATTTTTAATTCAGCCTAGAAATGCTAGTTTGCCATCCCTACCTTGTGGGTACCAGTCTCTAATGGAGGTTAAAATATCACTGCAGATATAAGCGATGGAGAAAAGTGTCATCAACAGGATTTCTCTCTGGAAAAGGAATATGTGGGAATGGAAGAAATCATTTCCTGGGCATTGGGCTTCCTCAACTCAGAAAGAATGAACTGGCTTCCAGCAGGGGAATCTTCACCAACTACCAATGGACATGCCTCAACTCTGCCTCAGGGCAGCCCCACCTGTGTCCAGAGGGCTTTTAATGCCCGATGCCTCTGGCCTTTCTTCCAAGAGGCCTCTGGTGGACTCAACCATCGAGCTTCTGGTTAGCGGTTGAGCTTAATTTTTGGTGCTCCCTAGGGGATCCCGACTAAGACTTGAGGACGATGACGGCTGGCAGGGGCTTTATTTTCCTGAAGGAGTTTGGAGTCCAATCTGATTTGCTTGAGGGAAATAAAACATCAGGCCAGGATTCTCCACCTCCCTGGGTCTCCTTCATTGCACCATCTCCTCAGTAAATGAGGAATGAATACACTGTTGTTATGCAGCAACACTTGCTTTTTACATTCTGTTTTCCCAGTGGCTCCCTCCTCCTGGAGGTGTTTTTGTAAATAGATTCATTTATCTTACCGCAAGGTTTTTGTTTTTGTTTTTTTAATGGCATAGCAACAGTTCTTGCAAATACCAGGTTGGGGAGAAAACAGCTGGCAAACAGCCTGAATGCACATGTTGTTTTGATAACATTCCATGGCCAAGACTGTGACTTTACAGGGAGGGGACTTACCTGCTCTAGTTGCCTCCGGCTCTCCCTGCAGCCCAGCTTTTCTTCCTCCCCCACCATGGGCAGGGTTTTCTTGTTCACGTCTACCACATGTATCACAGCTGAAATCCTGAGCGCTAGGTTTGAGTTGACAGTGGGAGCTCTAACTCCAATTAGCGTCTCCATGTAAATTCAGCCTCCATTCAGAGCTTTCTGACCATGGACCAGCAAAGTCAATAAGCTTGGTCCTCAAGCAGAGTGTTAACCACCCATCCCCTGGTCCGCCCAGGGAAGAGCCACCTCTCCCTCAAGGATGTGCCTGAGTGTGCCTCTGAGGGAAACTGGGCCCCCAGGGTGGCATGAGTATCAGGCATGTCCCAACCAAGATGGTCAGTGGGTCAAAATCCAATCCTATAAACTATTCTAATCTGCGATAGCATCCCTATCTCAATCACGGTCCCTTAAGGGTTTCCTTAACCCCTCCTGCCACTGTGATGAATTGATCTGCCACCAATCATAATTTTATGACAATTTCCCTTGTTCTCCACAGTCTATTTAATTAGCCACTGTCTGTGCCTCCTTTAGACACCATTATGGTCACATGCTTATTACGGTTCTTCCTCAGCGGGATGAGTCATTTTTATCTTTGTTTTGTCTTTGACCTGTTTAAGACTTAATAAAGTGGTCTCTATCAATATCTTTACATGTGGGTCTTTTATACCCATGTTTTATACCCATAGGAAGGCTTTTCGTTCTGGCCCTTACCACACACAGTGATCTCCTCACTGTAACAGGTCGAGACTCGGTTGATGTTTGGCAGCTGCATGAGGTGCTTCCTGGTTTCATGCAAGAGATTCAGGACATAGCGAGCATGGAGCTGCTACTGGGAAGAAGCATACGGAAGGAACAAAACAACACATATCTGTGAGAGAAGATGGGCCTATCTTTACCGCTAAATGGCGCCAGTCAGCCAAGAACCCCCCAAGTAACCCGATGGTGGTTGAATCACATGAGGAACGTAATGAATGTTATTGAACTGTACATGTAAGAAATATTAAAATGATACGTTTGGGGGTACCTATTTGTCTACTGCCATAAAATAAAATAAAGTAAAATAAATATAAGGGATCTTCAGCAATTTTTCCATGAACATTTTGAAGATCTCCTTGGAGATCAAAGTAATGCAGGACCAGGCAGTGTTCCATTCCATCATATCCAGGGTCGCAGCGTTGGAACTGACTCGAAGGCACCTACCTTACAACACCACCCCTATCATCACCCATTGCCACGGTGTCAATTCTGACTCACGAGGACCCTGCAGGACAGAGAATAACTGCTCTATGGGTTTCTGTGGTGATAAATCTTTATGGAAGTAGATTTGAAGCTGGTCAGTTTGAATCACTGATCTCGGAGTTAGCAGACGATTGCTTAGTCTGGTGCACCAACTGGACCCCTTTGTGGTAGTTACATAATTTCATGTCAACTTCATAAGTAAGTGTAGGGGTGGAGTCTAGCCTCTCAACCAGGTCACAGCCTGATGATGCCTCCTTGTCGGCATGGCCTTCTCATGAGGGTTCTGAAAACTTTCTCTCTTTCTCCCTGGAGGTGGGCTACCCACTCTCTCTTCTTCCCCTCCTGTAAGGAGCCACCCTCAGAGAGCTGGAGGAGCCATGTGAAGACCCATGCTAGTGGTGAGATGCTTCCACCACCACTGGATCCACAAGACTTTTCACCCACCGGCCTGTGATCTTCCTGTTTTCAGCATCATTGTATGTGCAACATGAGTCTAAAGAGGAATGTATGGGCTAGTATTGGACATATGGGCTAATATTAGACTTATGGGCTTGATCTGGACTGGGCTGGGATGTTGTCTCAATCTACAATTGCTCTTTGATATAAAGCCTTTTCCTATATATACATTTGATTCTCTAGTCAACCCGGTCTAACACACCTTTAAAATAGTTTGTTTTGTTTTCTATATAGTGACTCTAGTAAATTGTTCTTTGGACCCTTCGTCACTGATTTTTTTCCTTTTATGCCATCTTCTTCTTTCAATTTTTCATTTTCCCCATTTGTCCCTCCCCCCAAGTGCTGAACTAAATTCCCCTTTCCCATCCACACTACAAAACTTGCCTTGCCTTAGCTTGGTAGAAACACATGATTGCCTCAGCAAAGTACCTCATAAGTCCCTGGATGTAGAGGGTACCGCGTGGTCCAGACATTACTGGGACGCATCATCAGAGCGCTTCCTGTAGTTAGTATCTTCATCTTCAGGTGCCTATGAGGAAGGCTCTGCATAGAACCAGAATATCACCCTCTTCCCCATGTCTGCCCGGGGTGGCAAGGCTTCTTACAGTCTATCGTCATCTTTCTCCTTACTGGCCCTCTGGCATCTACTGGCTTAACCAGCAGCCAGAATGAGTCTTGCAAAAAGCAAACTCGATTGAAGCATTCCTGTGCTCAATGTCCAATATCTTCCCATCTCTTTCAGAAGAAAGAGTCCACCTCCCCTCCCCTCCTTGCCTCCATTCCCTCGGTTCTCCCTGTCCAGCAACACTGGCCCTCCTGATGTCCTGGGGAAGCCCATACAAGTTCCTGCCTTGGAGCTTTTGCGTTAGCTCCCTCTTCCCTAAGGTACCCAGAGGGCCCATTCCCTTGTTGATGCTTCAGGCTTGGCTCAGGAATGACCTTCTCATGTATGTCTTCTTGGGTTACTCTTTATAAAATTGCCATCTTCTCCACTCAGAACTTAGTTTATTCTTTTTCAGAAGTCTCATACATCTTTTAAGGCACCCTGGCAACGTACTAGTTATGCGTTGGTCTTCGATCCAAAAGGTCAACAGTTCAAAACCACTAGTGGCTCCAAAAGAGAGAATGAGGCTTTCTTCTTGCCATAAAGAATTACTGTCTTGGGGGGAGGGGAGGGAGGTGAAAATTGAGGAGCTGATACCAAGGGCTCAAGTAGAAAGCAGATGTTTTGAGAATGATGAGGGCAACAAATGTACAAATGTGCTTGACACAATGGATGGATATTTGGATTGTTATGAGTTGTATGAGCCCCCAATAAGATGATTTAATAAAAAAAAAAAGAATTACAGTCTCAGAAACCCACAGAGGCAGCTCTACCCTGTCTTTTAGAGTAGCTATGAGTTGGCATCGACTCGATGGCAGTAAGTTTTGACTATTGCCATTTAACACAATACATTATTTCCTTATTTGTTTTAATTAGCTATTTCTTGTCCATCTTCCACTAGAATGTCAGCCCCAGAAGGGCATTGATTGTGTCTGTGTGGGTCATTATTATATCTGCAATGCTCAGACCAGTGCCCCTAATGTGATCTGTGAGATAAACCACAATGAAGGATTAGGAGAAGTGGAGCTGGGAGAGGGATGAAGTGCAGCTGATGGGGGTGTGACATGGAGCTGGTGGAGGTGGGCATGGAGCTGGTGGAGGTGGGTGTGGAGCTGGTGGAGGTGG